CTTCCGTAGTGGGCTACGCAAATCGTAATGAAGGATTATATGTCGGGCTTGTTAAACGATCTTAATTCCAGTGCAGTTGACATGTTGCTGAAGCATGTAGGTGTGCCACGTACTGTTGACCCCTTTGTCCGGGCCTTGGGCGAGACAAACACTAGCACAATTTGATGGATTATGACAATTATACTTCGAAGTTTAATAAGATTGATATGATTGAACACTCTGAACTGGTTGATTTGGCAAGTCTATCCAAGTGAAATCCTGTCGGATGTTCTAGATGCGAAACAGCGCTAAACTCAGACAGGAAGGCCAGCTCATCGGCCGACCCTCGTGCTTTTGAAAATATACAGAAAGCGTTTCATCCTTTTTACCATCATCGCATCCCATCGTCAACTCTAGTACACCTCCAGGACGTATCTCTCCTCGTCCTTGAGCTTCTCGATCTCCTTGTGGGGCTCGACCTTCTTGCCCTGGGCCTTGGCCTCGATAGCGATGGCCTCCTCGAGGACGGCGGTGACGTCGGGCACGGGCCAAGTCGGGCCGCAGAGGTAGAATGCACCCTCCTCGCGGATGTAGGCCTGGACAATCTCGGGCAGCGTCTGGCGCATGCGGTCCTGGATGTAGATCTTCTCGGGCTGGTCACGGGAGAAGGCGCGACCGAGGACGGTGATGACACCGGCCTCCTGGTAGGCCTCCCACTCCTCACCATAGCAGTACTCCTCGCGCTGGTGACGAGAACCCATGTATAGCAGAACGGCGCCGATCTCCTTGCCCTGAGCCTTCTCAAGGGCCCGGTGCTGGACGAAGGCACGGAAGGGAGCCAACCCGGTTCCCAGACCAGCCATGATCAGGGGCTGAGTGGACTTGGGGGGCAGCTTCATCACGCTGGACTTGACGCTGACGGTGATAGGGGTGCCGGGTTGCAGGCGGCTCAGGTAACGGGTTGCCTGGCCGAAGCGGTCACGGCCACGGGGATCGGTCCAGGTAACGGCGACGATCATGAGAGCCACGGTGGTGGGGGTGACTTTCTGGCACGAGGCGATGGAGTACTCACGACGCTTCATGGGGCCGACGATGCGGATCAGGTCGTGGAAATCAGGGTGGGCAGAGGGGTATTCCAAAAGGATGTCGGCGAAGCTGACAGTGTCGACCTCAGCACGGCGCTTGAACTCCACGGCACCTTCGGGGCCGCCGAGGGTGCGGAGATCGGTCTTCTCCTTCTCGTCATCGGCGAACTCGGCAAGGGCTTCGTAGAAGCGCTTGGGAGGGCGACCGAAGATATCGATGTTCTGGACCAGCGCCTGGTAAACAGTGCGATTCTCAAGAACAGCGGGGTCCTCACGGCTGGGCACCTCCACAATGTCATCGGCGTTGAGGCCATAGAATTTGATGAACTCGAGAACATCGTTGGTGTCGTTCTCGGCGTGGACACCCAGTGCCTCACCGATGTCGTACTTGAGTCCAGAGTCGCCCAGGTCGAACTCAATGTGGAAGATGTTACGATCATAGGTGACAGGGGTCAAGCGTCTGTTCTCCTTCACGTGGACCGTGAAGGTCTTTGTAGCAAGATCAGGACGGAGGACAGTCTTGGTCTCATAGGCCTCCTTGAAGGCCAAGCCCTTGGCAGCGGCCTCCCAGTCCTTGAGGTAGGAAGCAGGCTCGCTCTCTTCCTTGTCGAAGGCAACAAAGCTGTTGGGAGAGATGTCCTTGGGCAACTGAGGAATCTGGGCTCCCTCCTCGGGAGTCTTCCAGGACTCAGGGACTTCGATCTGGCGAAGGACCTTCTCGAGGTCCTTGCTGACACTCTCCAAAGCATCAGCATTGCCCACAATCGAGGCCAGCTTCTTGATGCCAACCGATTCTTGAGTGGGCAGAGCCACGCGCAAAAAGGCGACCTGAATGACAGAGGACTCGGAGACAGACTCTCCGGCAGCGGAGGGGTCAACGAAGTAAAGGGTGATTCCGCTCTCGGCGATGGACTGTCTGAAGGCAACAGGCAGCTTCTTTTCCAGCTCATCGTCCTTCACGCCAGGAGCGTTGACAATGATCTTGCCGCCAGCCTTGACAGAAGCGACAACATCAATGTCTCCCAAAAGCTTGAGGTCTCCGACGAAGGTGGTGTCGGCGGCAGTGACGGAGTAAGGAGCGTCCAAGATCTTGGAGCTCTTGCGGATATCGACGCGGACAACTCCTCCTTGAATCAGATTATCATGGGCCTTGCTGGTAGTGACATTGCTGGCGGAGTCGGCAGCCAAAGCCTGGGAGAGAACAGTTGCGATATCACCGCCAACGGAGTTGTCAGTGTCCCAGAAAGAGTATTCCTGAACAGCGGACGGGTCCAAAAGCTGGAGGGGCTCAGTCTCGGCGCTGAACTGGACAATAGGCTTCTCGTGGATAAGCTGGAAAGCAGCGGCAGTGTTGATCAGATCCCAACGCTGAGAGCGGGGGTACTTGATGTCCACGGCGGTCGGGGCCTGCTCACGGTCGGTAGCAAAGGTGAGAGCAGCAAGAACGTCCTCATAAAGGGCGGAACGAACACCCTGTTCTTGAACGGCCTGCTCGTTGGCAACTTGTCCCAGAACACCGACAGTCTTCACAGACTTGGGCAGCACGCGCAGGAACTCTTCTTCCACGAAAGGACGGTAGACACGGACATTCACGACACCCACGCGAACACCGTCCTTGGCGAGAGAGCGGGCAATCTGGGCAGTGAGGGATGCCTCGACGGTACCGAAGGCAACCAGAACGGAGACGGGTTCGGCATGGCCATGGTACTCGAAAAGACCGTAGTCAGTTCCGAGCTCACCGTTCAAAGACTGAAGGAGCTCCAAAAGCTTGCCCTGATTGTCAAGGTGGCGGCTGCGGGAATCCTCCAGAGTCTTACGGACAGATTCGTACGTGCGAGCAAGGCCGGCCTGATCGAGGATGTCGATGACACGAGTGTGCTCCCGGCCAACGCGCACACCGTCATAGATGTGCACGGAAGGCAGGACAGAGGCGAGCAGAGTGGTCAGGAGGGCCATGTGCTGCGATTCGTGGGCAGAGGCGCTGGAAACCAGACCCAGTCCAAGCTCCTCCGCGAGGGTGAGGGCAGTGGCATAGTCGGAGACAAGGCCGTCTTCGCCGGCATAGTCGACAGCGGCAACATGTGCAGCAACAGGGCTAGCCACGGAGTAGAGCAGCGAGAGTTGCTCCAACGCGGCACGCATGTAGGGGAGGGTAGCCGATGAGGCAACGATACCCTGAGGGACGTGGCGCTTCTTCAGGTCGAAGTCCTGAGAGAAAATGTAACCGAGAGCGATGTTACCGGCACCCTGGCGGGTCTCCATGGCCTTGATCTCGGGGTATTCGCCATTGGCATTGGTCTCCTGGCTGGAAGCCCACTGGCGGAGAGCAGCATCCAGATCGAATGACTCAGGAGAGTAAGAGAAGATCTTATCACTGAGGAGGTATGCGACCTGCTGAATGAGGGTCTGGGCGGTCACATAGGTAGGACCGCTGAGGGCGGACAAGGCTGGGGAAGAGGCACCCATTGTGAGGAATTCTTGCCTGGATACCGGTGTCACACAACCGATAACTCTTAGGTGAAGACAAGAAAGAGAAAAAGAGAGAATGAGTGGAGGAAAGACGAGGGCAATGAGGGGGGGATAAAAAGCCCGTCGCCGCCGTATAGAAAAGCCCAGGGGGATCATGCCTTATCCGGCTAGTGGCAATCACGCAATTTCTTATCGATAAAAAATTGGAGGATCGGAGGCGGGACCTCAGGGCAGAATCTCTCCGCTTTCGGCCGACTTCCCCGCATTACTAATGCAAGGAACCATGGGCCTGGGCAGTGGGCACGTGAGGGGTCTTGGTGCCTGAGGCATGGATTCTCAATTAGTGTTGGACCCGCTGATCTCCCCAATACACGTCATCCCGGCGCATTTCCTTTCAAGCTGCATTGCAGGAGACTGAATCCCACAATTTACTGTATCCAGCCACTGATCCCATTCTGAATCCATTACATACAGTCAGCATAATGGCCAACGTTGCTCTACTCGGTTCTACTGGCATGGTGGTACGTACAGTCCTGAGCAAACAAGCTCTTTTTAGGCTCACGCCAAGGCCCGTGTTGTTCTCCCTTGATACATCCCTGCTCTAGACTGTCGCGATGTATATGGGAGGCTCCGAGAAAGACTCTGCTCACTTATATACTAATCGCAATTTTCCAGGGGAGCTTTATTCTCACCAGCCTCCTCAAAAACCCCTCTATCGCCCGCGTGGACACGATCTCCCGCCGCACGCCGCAGCCTGCCACAGCCGCGCCGCAGGAGAAGCTCACCACCTTTGTCTCCGACGACACCTCCAAGTGGGCCGAGCAGCTCGCGTCGCTGACCCCGACCCCTAGCATCTATATCTCCGCCTTCGGCACCACCCGCGCTGCCGCCGGCGGGTTCGACAACCAGTACAAGATCGAGCACGGCCTGAACGTCGAGACGGCGCGCGCGGCGCGCGACGCCGGCGTCAAAGTGTACGTGCTGATCTCCTCGTCGGGCGCCGACAAGGGCTCGTTCTTCGCCTACCCGCGGATGAAGGGGGAGATCGAGGAGGACGTCAAGGCGCTGGGCTTCGAGCGGACCGTCATCTTGCGGCCTGGGCTGATCGGCGGGCAGCGCCAGGAGAGTCGCCCGACCGAGGCGGTGGTGCGTGGGTTCGCGGGTCTCCTGGGAAAGGTTCACTCCAGCCTGAAGGACGGATGGGCGCAGGATGCGGATGTCATCGGCCGTGCCGCTGTCAATGCCGGCCTCAAGGTGCTGGAGGGCGATGTCCCTGCGGGAAGTGAAAAGGTCTGGACGCTGCATGGGAGCGAGATCCTTCAGTTGGGTAAGGAGTAGAAAGAAAGAAACATCATGGACCAGCTTCGCAGCATTGTACCCCCTGGCTTTCTGGAGTTGGTGTAATATTAGTTGTGCATTATTTTTATGTGTTCATGGGAACCAAAGTTGTGATTGAAGGACTGGACTGGGATAGGAGTTCCAAGTCAATTATATATCTCTTAATACAACTATCGTTACCACATACAGCCGCAAGAACCAGAACAATTCGATGACAGGCAATTATATCACGCTTCTATTACAAAGTAGGTATGACAGAGATCTCTCTTCTATCAATACTTCTTATTCCAATCATTCACCTCCTTCCCCTTCTTCGTCTGGCCTCGCTTGCTCGACGCCTCCCGATCCGCGTTCCGCTCCGGGGCCCCCTCCGTGGGATCCCGCCCCTCGCTGACGCCCTTGTTCGCGCCGCTGACGTTCAGCGGGTTGCTGACTTTACCGCTCTGGTTGGTCTCCTCCTGCGCCGCCTCGATCTGGCTCTCCGGCGAGGTCTTCGAGGGGTCGAAGGCCGCGTCGTGCTGCGAGACCTCCTGGTCGGTGCCGGTCTTGGAAAATTCCGAGGGCTGCGGGTCCAACACGTTTCGGTCGCCGGACTTCATCTCTTTGCGTTGACCTTGGGACGTGCGGAGCGCGGGAATGGAGTGAAAGGTTCGTTGCGTCTTAGGGTTCAGGGCTGCGGCGGCGGGGGTCTGCCGAAGGGGCTGGATGATGTTGCTGCTGCTGCTCTGGCGGAGAGCGCTCCGGTTGATGATTGTGATTTGTTTGAACATGATTGATGTTTAATAGTGTATTGGTTTGGCAATAGAATTCGGGAATTGGGAGAAATGGAGCAATTGAAATATGTCGAATGGTACAGTATGTATAGTCTTGTAGTACTGGAAGCGCGAGGTATGAGTGTATTTGTCGCTGAGTCAATGCGGCTCGTTTCTTGGAGGAATTTGAGGAACTTACAGATGAATGAGGACTTGAGCAGTATTAGATGGGATTGAAAAGGTATGATGGAAGAACAAGATCGATGTGAGGGAGGGAGAGAGGGAATTGGAAGGTGGAATGCCCGCCGCTCGCCCTCATCATGTTGACGTCATCGGTACTGCAGAGGACATGGCTACCACGTGACGTGAATATACCGGGCATTGTGCCATCGCAAGCAATGCATGTCTATTTTATTCGACCCAGGAATTGACCATCTGGTTTTACGTGGATATTTACTTTGCAGAAGACGATGCGATCTGTGGAATGATATTTTGCAGGTGAAATCAAGTGCATTTACCTCAACTTACGGTAGCTTTACGACTAGCTTTTTCTTGACAATGCCGAATTGACGTACGCGAAGACTATGCAAAAGATAGTATATACGGCTTGCTGTAATGCTCAATGTCAGATCGACTAGAATCTGCTGAGAGATGGACGTAACACTCTGAGAATAGCTGCTAAGAAAGAAACTTATTTGCCGGATGGTAGTAGTTTCTGTAAAACCGTCGACGAAGTCTGCCCGATATGCCACGTCAATTATCACATACCTGACATGATCCTCGGCCGATTCTTGGAGTGTGATGGGCACAGTCCTCGTGCATCTCGGTACCAGAATATAATATCACCTTCGAGGCGGTTCTCTCCGCTGGGACCAACACCTTCACGCAAGGCTTGCGTAGAATGAGAACTGTCTAGATGCCCGGCCTGTCCACAATTGAATTGAGACACTATGCATAGGGCCGGGTCGTTATCGACCATGCTGTGACTTGCAAATGTCCTGACTCGAAGAGGAAAGTGCAATCGTAGAACTACCCGAACATACTTGGCCCGCCATTCGACTTCAAGAGGAGAGCAAGGTTTAGGCTAGGAGCAGGGGTCTAAACTATGCAGGACGCACCTTTCGTAGCCCAAGCCTAGATCCCGCAGGGAAACAACTTCAGGTGCCAACTTGCAGATGCGAGGACCCGGAATTCATCCATACTAGTTTTGTTAATGCGTGTTTCTCATGGGCTCAAGATATCGCGACAGGGATCTTCTTAGCTTGCATGCACCTCCCGAGCAGCCTGTCAGCTGGTGAACTTCATTGGATATGGAGCGCTGACGCTATTTAATAGCCTTTCGAAAATGGACCAATCTCGGTCCGTGGTCTCGAAACAGCAAAGAGTGCGTTCTCACCTTAATGCCCCCAATACTTGTTTCGCAGGTTCCATTTGTTGACTGCAAGAGAAAAAGGTACGCGCAGAAGCGCAGAAGAAGCCGGTCACGTTACAATCACGGGATTGAAGGAACCCAGCATAGTGGTGCGCGTGGGTGGGTCTCAAAATCCAATTTCAACGTCGTCAGAAGTATAAGTGAAAGTTATTGTAGTATGCAGCTGGAATTAATCGAGCTGTTGCAGCCAGAAAATCACCCAGTAGTTTTGGGGGTACTGAAAGGGAATCGGCCGGTCTAGGAAGGCCATTTTCTTTTCAGATCCGTAGGCCCCGAATCCTTGTTTCCAATGTGCAATCGCCACAGGCGAGGCTGGATTAGAAACATCCGAAGTAAGACAGCCTGCGAGAAGAGGCAGATGGGTGGCAAATCGCGCTCTGGCACCCGGTGGGAGGAAAAGTCTGAATTCAATGCACGGTGTGTTATCGATGCGATTTCATCATGGCGGTGGTCAGCCAAATCCGGCAGCTGCTGAGTTGGCAACCGCTATCAGTCCATGGATCTATGCTCGTCCACCCAGTGTAGCGGACGCCAGAGCGCACCAGCCGATGATTTGATGCTCAATGCTACAGGCAGACAAGTAAGAGCCTTCCAGGCAATTTTCTTCTAGGATGTCCGGACAAGCGGAGATGTGGGAGTATTGAGCCCCTATTCGCCGAGTCGGAGGCAAGTCAAAGCGAAATTGACAGCCTCAGAGCCCTTCTAACATCGTAATGATCAGTTTCCAGTTGAGAACAGTCCTCCATCAGCACAGCAGACTCGAATATTGAGCAATTGAGCCAGACGAAGGGTGCCACGTCAGTGAGTCTCCGAGCTCTAATGCAGCTGCATGGATTCAACTGTAGGTGCACCGTACCACAGTCGGTATTTGCCATGGCTGATGAGCACAAATGATATCCTATCGTTTCAGCGGAGCAAAGCAAGTAAATGAAGATAAACCCTGCACCTGAGCGGGGGCACATGCGGGATTATTCCTCTGCAGATGTGGGAGATCAGCTGAAGAGAATCGGTCCCTCATAGAAGCCTGAGCTCGCCATGCAAATGCAAGTCATGTTCACTCTAAAGGGTCATGTCCAAGGATAAACCAGGTGCCAATCGAGGTCTTCCAGTGACGCGTCTTTCGCCACCATGGATGGAGCGAAGAGAATTTCCTTGGTAAGTGATGACCAGACGGAAGCATGCGGAGTATACGAGACGGTCACAGGCACGAAGGTTAGTCCATCTGCGAAAGATCGATCAGTGTCCAACAAATTGGCTAAAGAGACTTATTAGTGTTGCAGCCAGACAACGGAACCCTGGCCTATTGGGCAGGCTGGCAGCTAGAAGTTCGAAAAAGAAAAATGCACCCAGAAGCGGATTGAATCTAGAATCCGGCTTCTTTCTCGGCATGACTCCGTTGCAGAATGTATGCCACTAGAATTGCTTGCGATTGAACTAATTGGTCGTGAGCAAGTCGTCACGATATCATGGATGGGAGAGCATGTAACAAACCAGACTAGGTGATCACACTGACGTTTCAAACGGCACCCGTAGTTTCCTATCCCCTCAATGCCGAAATGTTAGGTTGCCGTTCAACGGGAAGGAAAAGGCCTTCGATGTAAGACGGACAGCATGACAGCTGGCACAAAAGTAAAAAAGACTGTCTCATGCAGGAGCTTTGATTCAGCAGCAAGCGGATGGTTTGGTTGATTCCTGAATTCCGGTTCGTACGCAGCGGAAAGCCATAGACGAAGCGGGGACGATCAATGGAGCATCTCAGGCTGCAGCAATAATCCGAGCTAACAGGACAAAGGCCAAAAGAGATCATTCATAGCGAATGAGGGATTTTCAACACGGGCTGGATGAGAGAACACGACAGCAGGATGTATGCATTTGTGAATCACCCGGTGATTACAGTTGCCCCGAACAGGAAGGGTGTGGATATTTCGTGTCTCCACAGTCAGGGAAATTCCAGCATAGCCAACCGCGAAACCACTGAATGGGGTGGTGTGGGTGTGATGATAGAACGCCGTAGTCGACAAGCCATCGGATGCTGAGCTGAATTCGATCGACAATTGATGGGCATGGGACGATAATTGGTCGTCTTGTAACATGAACGCTTTTGACGAAACATAAATAGGGCCACGGAGGCCGTCCCCTCCTCGAATTCTGAATCAATAACCGTTTCACACTCTGCTTCTTCAAGAATAACCATTTGAAATAAGACTTTGTTGTTGATTAAAGGTGTTTCAATTCTAAGGCAACCTTCAACCTTCAAGAGTCTTGTGCAAGCTTAGCCTATCAAATCTCAGCACGGCGGCAGGATCTTGGAGCGGACCAATAGAACACAAGCCAGACACTTGAAACCGCAAGCTGCAGCAACGGAGAGTGAGTTTCATCCAGCCCCTAGAAAACCATTAGCTGACAGCAAGAATAAGATATGTGCTTCTACAACCAGAGGAAGTTTTCATGCGGTGACTGGAGTTGGACCAACTTCGCTCACCGTTGCAATTACGAGTACCGCACGGGCGAGACGTGTGGCATGAGACTTGTGAATGAGACCTTCAACGAGAAGGCGAAATGCCGCCTGTGCGATAAGATTGATACCAAGGTGCGGCGGCGAAACGCCGAGGTGGACAGATTGACTCGATGGAAGCGAGAGGGAGGCACTCTCGTAGCTTCCATGGAACGAAGTCAGAATCTGATCAAGGAGCTCGATAGAGAGATCTTCCAGCTGGAGAGAGAGAAGCAAGACAAGCAGCGAGCACTGTCATAGGAGGGCATGGTAATCTGCGGTGAGAAAATGGGGTGAGAATGTTGTGAGCCAAATGCTGTTTCTTTTCTTCGAATTTCAGATTCCCTCATTGGTTATGCTTCGGCCATTCTTCTTGTTTGTATCTTTGGTGGTTAGCCCCTGGGTCTCACTGTCAATGTGTCACATTATGTGAACTCGACCATTGTTCATTTCAAACTCGTCTTTTCAGGCTGCAGCCACACAATGGTCGGCGGATAGTTTTCATTTTGAGCATAAGGTCCTGAGCAAAAGAGATCAGATCCAATAAGGGTGTTTCAAATGCTGAACATCTGGCAATTCCAGGCGCCATCCCTCGGTAGAAGTTCCACACCGTAAGCGCCGATGTTGATGAGCGGCTCATCAAAGCCAGAAGACCGTTTCACCATAGCAATTGTTCGCTGGAGGGGGCATCAATGCTGTCAATTACAGTATAAATTGTTCCTTCTGTAAAGGAGGCCCTATAAGTCGAGGTAGTTGCCCTGGCGTCATGATAGAGAACAGTGAGAGTTGCGGACGAACGATGGGTTTAGAGATATAGAGAGCTGGATCAATGGAGGGATATAGACCAAACCCCGCGTTTCGGCAATCGCCACGTGATGGCCCTCCTGTTTGGGTTAGAGGCGTCCTGTCCCAGTCTGTCAACTGCCAGCCCCCGGTGATGGATGAATTCAGCACCACGACATCAATCCGTCAAAGTTGGCTCCTTGCTGACCTCCAACCAAGCTCCGCTGTGATGTTCTGAGATATATGGTCTGGACGTGGCCCTGCCTTGCGTATTCGTGCTTATAATGGATCAACCGAATGTGCTGCACCCAGGGCCAGGATACAGCCAATATTCGACATAAAAAACTGCAGGATGCCCTTTCGCCCATAACTTGTATAAAATAGGCACTGGACGAAAATGTGGTCTGATATCGGGGCGTCATATTTATATAGGAAAGGAATGTGGCACCCTGGGCTCAGGGAAGCCCTTCGTTTGTTCAGGCGCCCAATGTCAATGAGGTCTTCGTCAGCTACGTGGACCATTCATCTTCGGAGATCTGTGAAGAACCGGATCGGATGTCCCTCAGACACACGAGAGGACAAATGTACAATGAATTGTCCGGGAGCCAGCTTGATATCGCCGCTTGCCACGTCACCCGTCGACAACGTCAGTTACGCTTCAGGTGCAGCTTCAGGGAAGTGTTCTGTGTGCCATGATTTGATGCAGGTCTCTCCTAGCAAGCTACATGCCTATGAGCGGTGCAAAGCCTACGGATGTATAGCTGAAGAACGTTTGGTCAATGGAAACAAATGATATTATCTTGGTCAAAAAGCAGAAAGCTGTCATTCACTCATTTATTTGATCTCACCAGCCTCGGGCTCATCGTCAACCTTGGCCAATCCGTGTTCTTTCAATAGAGCATTAATCTCATCGGCGCTCCACAGATGGTGATAGATCTTGCCTTCAGGCGTTCTTCCCACCGTCGCGAATTCGACTATTTGAAATGTGCATGTTAGCAGATGATGCGGCTGCGATACAGTTTGTAGGATCCGGAAAGGAACCACTTACTCTTCTCACTGCTCAACTTCGTTGAGTCCATCGTCTTGCTCAAGACCTTCACCGCCATGGCGCAGGCCTCCTTCAGATCGCAGTCCTCCTTGTAGTCTTGCTTGAGCAAACTTTGGGCACTTGCGTTGTTGGCACCCACGCTGGTCGCTTTCCAACCACCGTAGTTACCGCTAGGGTTGCTCTGGTACAACTGGAACTGCCGAAGAGGGTCATAACCCGCATAGATGAACGACACACCGAAGGGACGAAGACCACCGTGCTGGGTATATCCTTGTTTCAGATCGCACAACCGACGGACAAGTTGCTCGCAAGGGATCTCTTCGTTGTAGGTAAGGAGGTACCGCTGAGCGGCTTGTCGGGCGTAGTTGATCAGGATGTTCGCATCTGCCGTCATACCAGCAACGGCACAGATCATGTTGCTGCCCAAAATGTTAGGCCAGTAAGGAGCGGTAGGATAAGGGCTGCATACTCGTTCAGTGTGTACAGCTTCTCGGCAGATGTGTCCTGCTCGAGCAGCTTGCTGGTGACCTTCTTCTCCGCGGCAAGGACGATTCCATCCTTGGCCAGAATACCCAGAGCAGTACCGGCGTGCGAGATGGCTTCTAACGCATACTCAACCTGGTACAGTCGACCTTCGGGGGAGAAGATGGTTGTCTGTCGAAGAACGTCATCGGGTCAGCTAGGAAGCTTCCTAAAGAACAATTAATCATCGGGGGAACAAGCATACTCTGGAATCGTATCTTCTTGACATCTTGGACTAATTTAACAACTAACGAAAGATTCCAGTTGTGTATGTCAAGCAAAGAGAGAGGGTGGGAATGAGCGGAGTTGTGATGGGGAGAAGGTGAAGGGAGATGCCGAGCAAGCTGTGCTGTGGAAGGTCGGATGAGCTCCCGTTGGAAGTGAGCGAGTGAGTGACCGACCAGGCAACTTCGCCCTGGCGCGTCCACCAGCCAGCCCGCCCGGGCTGACTTGACCATCCGTCCGCCAAGCTCGGACCACCCCGAGATTCCATGCGAAGCTCTCCGCGACACTGGCGCAAATTATCTTTCAACGGCGCTTCCAGCCTTCAACCATCTGGCTAAAAATTCTTCGATTATCTGATAAAACATCTTTACTCAATTTATGTATCTAAAATCCATTTGAGTGGAACTCGCATTGCATAATCATATTTCACCATGCTAAGGTCGACATATACCCCACCTCCTCCGCTACCTCCAGGATGGACCGAACATAAAGCTCCTACAGGTTTGCTCATCCAAACAGAGTCGCTTAAGTCCCATTCCTAATTTGAACTAGGACATACATACTATTACAATGCGCAAACCAAGCAATCCACCTACACCAGACCCCTACCAGTTCCGACCCAACCCCAACCGCCGACAATAACGCCGCAACAACCCACATTCAACACGAACATAGACACACTGCCTCCATTCTCTTCTACTCCGTATGCGCCTCACGGATTCGGCCTCGGTGGAACTGGCTCCAATGCCATCCCTCAATATGGACAGCAGCAAGGAACTCAGGGCCAAGGGAATTTCCGTGGCGGAAGAAGCAACTATGATCGCCGACGCCGGGGGCCTGAAGACAGGCCCAAGAAAAAGCACGCAGTACCAGGATGCGCGCCGTGGGTGCTTGTGAAGACGAAACTCGGAAGACGATTTGTTCACAATCCGGAAACAAACGAGAGTT